TTTGGTGGCTATGGAGATAGGAGGAATCAGGATGGAGGGAGAGAGTGCAAGGAGGGACAACTGGCACCGGGGGGCATTGGGGAAATGTACTGCAGTGGAAACTCCCTACAATCTACTATGGTGACCCTAGATAGAACTCCTCATAATGGAGGATATAGAGTCTGAACTGTCTACCATCCGTAGCCCTAACCTATATGTTGGGAGCCATACAGCTTGGCATGGATGAACCTTTAGGCCGAACTTGGCCAGACACACGGCTATGGAACTGTCTTTTGATTATAAATGGCTTCTAGAAGCATGAGCACCCAGAAGGAACAACATGACCCAGATGTCAATCCTTTGTTCCAACCCACAGGCCCACTTACCTAGGCAACCCTCCCTCACCCCAACATCCATGAACTTTGTACCCTGCCAACATCCTCCTTCTATAGTTTTCCTACCTTCTGCTTAAACTAACACCTGGTTCTTGGCCTCTTCTCCTCCTCCCCTCTACCCCACTCTACTGACTACATAAGCTAGCCTGGGAAAAATAAAATTTGCCACTTGATCAGAATCCTGTCTTGTGGTCATTCTTTCTTCGTCTATTGTCTCTAGTCCCCTCCTTGGACATCTTGCCCTAGGTTGCTGTCCTGAGGGTTGGGACAAATACACCTATAGATGATGAGGTCAGTTAAAATATCCAGTGGTTGAGAAATAGCTAATAAAAGCTGATTAATAAGACTTCAGACAGATGAGCTCTAACATCAGGGGTGGTTACAAAGTTTTTGTGGAGTATGTGGAATTTGTATATAAAATATAGCTCCTTGTCCTTTTGCAGAACCATCTGTAAAAGCATTAGAAATGATCTCTATAAACTTTTTAGATTTAACTTTTTAGCTTTAGAGTTAAGCAACAGCCATGGGGTTTCTTTAAAAATCTTAAAGGGAAATCTTCAAGATAAGATCATCTATGGATTCTGAGTAACCAGCTAACACTATCTGCCAATTTGTCTCAGTGTCACAAATAACAGACCTGCACTGTATTTAGTGGTAGCACGATTTCTGTAGGCTCTTTACCAGTAGGTGGCGTACAGTGCGGAGGATGGGGTGAGGTGAGCTGGGATAGGGTGGAGCCACCCTCCACTCCTGGGAACTTAAGAAAGGGCCATGGAACCCGGACTGGAAGTTTCAATAAGCTTGCCTTTCCTCCCTAGCAACAACAGGGCCGAGTGTCTGATGAACAAGTGGAGAAAAAGACAGAATCTGGGTGAGCTCTCCTTAACAGACAGAGGCTTCCCGAAGACCCACAACAGAGGTTCATCAGATAGTGTGTGTCTGAAGTTTTACTATGTGTCCCAGGTTTGGTGAGGAGTAGAGGAAACTGGGAGAGCAAAGACCGGGTGAACCTATTTACTAAGGGCAGGAACTCCTAAGGCTGATAGGGAAGAGAGTGGATGTGGGCCTAGACCACATCTTAGGGCTGGGACGGACCATCAATAATAAAGTTGCCAGCTTTCTGGCTGTGGTCTGCAGAGGCAACCGCTGAAACATGGACTTTATTCTTGACTGTTTTCTCTTTCTGCAGAGTGTTCCTGAGGGCTCAGCTGCTAATGGGTGAGATAAAAAGACAGGGGGTGTGGCAACCCTGAACAACAGTGACCTCACCTCTCAGTTCATAGCTGCAGCTCTCATGTGCTCCAGCAGGACTGAGAGGATAGTGGTCCCCAGGGAGGGAGGGCCAGCGCCACAGGGAAGCGGAGTGCGCCCTGAAGAGATGTAAAGATGGGAAGTAGGAATTACGTGGTTGGAGCATGAGGGAACCATCTGAATTCACAGCCCAGATGCCTGGAACTTCCGTGAATCTCTGAGCAGGATCCTCTGCAAAGTGGTTCTGAGGTCTTCCTTCTCAGCTGCAGTCACTCCTGTTACCTGGTCTCCTGAGAGAACCTTGGCAAAGGCTGCAGCAATCCTTCCACCCTGGCTCTGTGCCCTTTGTCTCTATTGAGCTGTCTGTGGTGCATGCTTCTGGCCAGTGAGTTGCTAGGATCTAACTGGAAGGCGGGGTGTGGTGGGGGAACCACGGACAGGACGATGAGCTGCTGAGCTGCGGGGCTACTCCTCCTCCTCCACTGCCACCAAGCCACTCTGGCGGGCTCCAGCTCTTCACGCTGCAGCTTCCTCACCCAGGCTTCAGTGAATTGGCAAAGTTACTGTGGGAGGACAGCACAGGGGCTACATGAATGAGAAGGACAAGGTGACACAGGGGAGTAAGTAACTGGTGGCCCCCTCAGCCCTACTGGGGTCCGCAGGAAGACGAAACCAAGTCACCAGAACGGGATATGATTGGCACAGTGCGGGACCCCACCAGGCGGGGGTCTCAGACTTCTCCTCTGGACCTAAGGCATGTTCTAAAGAGTGCCTTTCCCTGGGATTCCTCACAAGCCTTCTACTGTTCCCCAATCTCTTTGCCCTTGAGCTTAATTTCCCACCTTCATACTATATATTATCATCAGATCATAATAAATATTTCCAGGGCCAAGACCACCCACGTACTCGTTTTTTCTTTGCCTCCTTTGTTGTCATTGTATTTTAAGGCAGGGTTTCACCCTTTAACACACATCTTAGAATTTGCAGCACTTTCTTCTCTCCCTCTCCTATCCACAAAGTGCCTTTTACCTTCTCTTCCACCAGGTGGCAATCTGTGTTCACGACTGAAGATGCCTTAGCTAATCAGGGGCTGGCACACCTTGTCTACTGTGAAGGACTCGGGCAATGGCATGGGGTGGCGACATGTGAAAGCTTCTGTTTTTGCCTCCCAGACCCATGTCGTCTACTTCCTAGGGAGATGGCATCAGATGATGGTATCCTTTAGGAAGGAGAAGGTTCTTTTTTTTTTTTTTTTCAGTAATGCAGGCACCAAATATATTCAACCTGGCAGGCCCCACTGTATCCACCCTTGTATCGGATATTCAGTTCTGCATGTAGTGTGACATTAGCAGAAGTCAAAAAGCTGATGAACAGGGCACAAGACTTGTCCTCTTTCCAGTCTCCAGACCCCAGATTAGGGTATATCCCGTGTACCAGTACTGATGCTCATCCCTCAGAGTACATTGCTCAACTATTGCTAAGGCTGTATGTTTCCAAGTCAGCAGTGGGTTCTCTGCTGCCCGTGGCTTCTGAGCCAGCTAGAAATGACAGGCATAGGTCTTGGGTTTAGGGCCTCTTGGTCTCCTCATTGCTGTCCAATGGATTCCTTGGATTCCACGAAACACAGAGCACACTCCTTGAAGTCTGGGGTGCTTGCTGAGGGAGAGGTGGTACTTAGTTGAGAACTAACCTCAGTCACATCCTCTAGGTGAGATAAGGGCCCCACAGTTACCTGGGGAGCGGGAGATGCTCAGTCACACAAAAGTCCTTGTCTCTCCCTTCTGGGCAGCTCTCGGCACACAAGAGACCACTCTGTTCCTGCAGCAATGTCTCATTTTTAGATATCTCGTCTGACTGTGACCTGCCCACTACTATCTAGAACACTGTCCCAGTTGGAGGCAGGTAGGACTGATGCTGGAGGCTCCCACCTGAGCTGCTGAGAACAGACAAGTTGGGCAGGGACAGTCATACCCACATCATGTGTGACTCTCAGATGTTGAGAGGCTGACAAAGAAGTGGGGGGGGGAGGGGATGTCTATAACCCCACGAAAAGTCTGGATAATCAGGATCTAGGTTCCTCTCTGGCTAGAGCTCCTCTCTATTCCTCCAGCTCCTCCTATCCAGGCCCTGAGACAGGGAGCAGGGTTCATTGTTACTACTTCATTCTGAACTTCCATGGTCCACAGCGGGGTCTGGGGCTCACTCTAGAATACGGTAAAGGAGGGAGGAAGACAGTAGAGGCTCCAGATGTGTGGAGACCGGGAGTGGTGGGTAGAGAGAACAGAAAGACCCATAGTGAAAGTGGCTGTGAGATGGTGATGACTGCTACAGGATACCCCAAACAACTGACTTTTGTTTTTAGTGACTTCCACTTTGTGTTAAGGAAGTTCCCTTATGCCTTTTCCTTTGGGAAATTTCGCGCAGGCTTTGGTGAAGGATGAAAATGTATACAATGGCAGTCCCTTTAAACAAAACAATTCTTGGGGAAAAAATCCCCATCACCATGGAACCATGCAGCACGATAACTCTGCTCACCTCCCACACAGGACGCCCCATTGTGTTCTCCCCACTATTATATTAGGAAAAAACAAGTTAAAGACTTACTAAGTGGAATTGCCCATGGAATGAAAAATATACAACCAAGAAAAACATGGGCCCAGATCCAGAGTCTGAGGCCACTTAAGGCAGAGTTCAGTTAATAAGTATAGAATAGTGCCCACAATTAATGGCTTACTGGATGAATGGCAAGATCTGTCCTGCCCCCTGGGGAGCAGATTCTGTTAAGAACTTAGAGTGGCTTGATTCCCCTCTGCTATAGACAGGAGTATACATTGAAGGAATTGGAATGGTATGATGTAACAGAAAGAGTAAGATATCAGGAACTTCCCTTCTGAGAATGTATGAGAACAGACTCATATTATAAGACTAAGTCACAGAAGAATGCAATGAGGAAACAGCTCAATTCACCAATCCTCTTGAGGAATGAAAATTGTTCATACAGGTTTGTTTCTTAGGACTCAATGTCTAACACCTCCTGGCCACAAGGGTTGAGACCCCCTCCCCCTTGGCAGAGCTTGGTGGAGTTACTGAAAAGAACAATAGGCATTTAGGTTCTTGCTAAATTTACTGCTTTTTTGCTTCAAGAAAAATGCTGTAATAATATTGATGACCAATTTTACCCCAGAAACAGTAAATAGGCTTTCAATATTGCTTGTGGTTAAACTGTAATGCAATTATAGAGTATAGAAGGTGTAGCCTAGTTTCAATAAACGGGCATCCATCTTGATTCACCTTCAGATCTTGTAGATCTCCTTCCCTTGAAGACTCCACACATTCTCTTTGAAACCTGACCCTCACTGCAGCTTGACTCCAGCATTAGTAGCAGCATTACTTAATTTAATAAACTAGTAACTTGCTCTGCTTCAGGTTTTACAATTCTTACAGTGTTTAACCAGGTATCTCCAGAAAGCAACTTGAATAGCAGAACTAAATGCTCAGTAGAGACAGGTAAATTAAGAACAGACCTAATTAACATGGTCAAAGTTTTGTTTTTGTTTTTTCATATAAGTAATATAGGGTACTTTGTTTGGGAAGTTTTAAGCTGAGATGATGATGGTGAATTTGTTGTTGAGTAATAATATATCCTAAATAATCACAAAGTGATTGTTTTTGAATTTTATCTGGAGCTATGTTTAAATTTTGTTCTTCTTGGGTTATTTCCCATGAAAGTTAAGCAGTCATTTAAGTATTGATTAGATAAGCAGGAGAAGAGAATGTCACCCATATAATGAATGACCATTTCATCAGCCCAGGTTTAAGCTCTTTATCAACATAATATTGACAGATAGTGAGGCTATTTCATCCCCTGTGGTAAAATTTCCCATTGTTATGGGGTTATTGGCTGTTGACTATTTAAAGTAGGAACCGAGAATACAAAACATGCCTTATCAGGATGAAAAAGAGTAGAGAAAAAACAGTCTTTTAAGTCAAGGATAATAATGCAATGTCCTTAGGGAATCAGAGTAGGAGCAGGGATCCCTGGATGAGAGGCTCCCTTGGTTTTCATAGTTGCATATGCCCCGAAAATCATGTAACGGTATAATTTTATTTCTTGTCTTTTTATGGATTATAAAAATGGGGGGGGGTTCGTGTACTAACTAGTTTCACTTTCTATCAGTCCTAATTGCAGTTGTTCATGTACTACAAGTTCAGCCTGCTTTCATTTTTCCTCACGAAGGGGCCATTGATCAATCTATACTGGATTACCCCTGCTGTGAGGAAAAACGAAAATCTAACTTCTGGGGCAGTAGAGCCCTAGTGTTCAAGCAGAGGCAAAGCCCCACCTGCCATTCCTTGAAACTTGGGTGCTGAGTCAGACACTACTCCATGCTTGGAACTGGACTGCAGAAAGGGTCTTCTGGAGGTACACAGCAGGTGGACTCTGAGTTCCCATCAGATCACAAGGCAGGGAGAGCCCCTTGCACACAGCTCAGTGACCACAAGGAAGCCTGAAGTCCTGGAGTCCACTCAGCCCATCATTCCAAGCCTGCCAAGATGTGTCCCACGGAGTTTTCTCTTTCTTTTTTTCAATGATCCTCTTGAGAGAGTCAAAGCAATATGTTATTGTACTCCAGCTTGCAAAATAATTGACAGGGATTTTATCTCCACTTTCATGGAATTTATTTGCATTAATTCCTATACTCTTCCAATTATCAACATCTATGGTTCCTTGTTTAGAAAACCAAGAATTAAACTCTACAGTTTCTTGTACAAGCTGAGCTCCTCTGGATCTTACAAACATCCCAGTAATTGCATAACATGCTTTTTCTCATAGGATTAAGAACCCACTCTTATTTTATGCACTCACAGCTGTAAGCCTTTCGGTGAGAGGACCTATCTCCCATCCACTGGTTTTTACCTTCTCTGAAAGTCGAGCCTTTCAAGGTGTTCACCAGTTGTGTGTGTGTGTGTGTTGGGGGGGCTTCTCTGCAAACACCATAGCCAGCAGTGTCAATCCAGGTGAGGCAAGAGGGAATTCAATTCAACATGGCTCCATAGTCAGTGTTGGTTTAAACTTCAAGAGTCTAACACAAGTAGTTTATTTTAGGCATATTTAAGCACAGCAAAATTTGGGGGGGGGGGAGTCTCCTGGTGCTAATTAACTCAATCCCAAGTGTAGAACAAAACTTAAGACATGACTACATCAAAACTCTTGTAAAGCAAAAGTGGCATCTTCCATAAAGATGGGCTGTATGCATTAACTAAGGAAACAGACTCAAGGTAAACAAAGTATTCGATAAGGGTCTGGGGAAGGACAGCACTATAGATTGGCTGAGACAAATGGGCTCAAGATAAAGGTCTGGGGTAGCCAATGTGGCCTGGCCATACAGATTGTACAGATGTCAGGCTATTATCCACCCAGCCTTCTGTATGTGAAACAGGTTATACATCTCCCCCTGTGAAGAGAAAACCTTATATTCTTAACATTCCTGGTTTCTCTAATACTTATCTGTGAGCACAAGTACCTACATGCCTCCTACAAATTAGTATTGTAATTTATAAAAATAACTAGTCTCTTACCAGCCTTACAATAAATCATGTGAATTTAAGAATATTAATGTATGGCCACATAATCATTAAATTGAGTTCATTTATAATTGGACCATTATGTCTAAAAACATGGAGTCCTAGAGACTGCCACTGGGGTTTCAGAAGAAAGCCTAGGAGGTCAATGCATAATCTCTCTAAGTGGCCCCTGAAGAGGTAATCCATAAAGCTCAGTGTGTATAGCAACAAATACATCTGGAGAGCTCTGGGATTTAAAAATGCCAGGAACATGAAATGCCTGCCAGGAAAAGCATGGGTAGTGAACTGAACCAGGCCAAAAATGCCTTCTGCGCTACAACCAACAAGATTGTAGGGGTAGACTGTCTAAGCCTTTGGATCCCACACTGTATCACCATGAGTCCCATATGTTGGACATGGAGGTATAGGGTTTATTTAGTGTTTGCCCTGATGTACTTCAATCTTGCTTTAGGTAAGCTTTTCGTTATTTTCCTAGTCTTTCCTTTAAGAATGAGTATTGTCAACTGTATCTTGCAAAGATATAAATTCCTTTTTTTTTTTTTTTCCTTTCTAAGAAGATTCACCGGTGTATTTTCCTTGAGACTAAAGGGCTTTGGATCTGTAGAGGAACTGGTAAGATTTGGAGGACTCCGAGATGGAGCACATGCTATATGCATGCGAGACACACGTAAGCCTTTAGGGGGCAGAAGCGGAATGTTAGAGTTCGGATCTTAAATGTCCATGAAATAAACACGGTCAAGGCTTGGACCTAGCCTGTGGCACCATTGGAAGGTGTTCTAATGTTCAGGGAGTGAGGCATTAAGTCACTGCTGGCACATTCTTGAAAGGATTATTGGGTTCCTGGCTGCTTCCTCTCTCATCTTCGCGGCTGCCATAAACACAGGCTCTCCCCCACTTGCTCTTGCTATGACCGCTCTATCTTGCCATAGTTTCATAGTAGCTTAGCAGGGCTAAACAACCTGTGAGAGAAAACTCAACATGCCCTCTAGGAAGTTGATGTATCTTGTAACAGTACTTTCTATTTGGGACCTCCAGCCTGCAAACAATGACCCAGAAACTTTGGAAATCTCGGCTTTAGCTTAGGCTTGTTTCCACCTAGCTTTTCTAACTTACATTAACCCATTTCTATTAATCTATGTTCTGTTGTGTACAACCCATTTTTCTTCCTCCATGTCTCCTCCTGCACCTTGATTTTCCTCTTCCTCTCTCTGCCCAGAAGTTCTGCATATGTCTCCTGCCTAGCTATTGGCTGTTCAGCTTTTTATTACACCGGTCACAGCAGTGCCCCTTCACAGTGTACAAATATCCTACAACAGTGTCTCCAATTTTTTGTTACAATGATAACAAACTAACACATTTTAACTCAATCATTTCACTGAAATGAGTGTTCTCTGGTAGAACTATTACTGTGAACAGTCAATGGAAAAGAGTGTGGAGCGACTTGGAAAGTTGAAGCAGATGTGCTCTGAAAGCAAATGAATTCACATGGTCATCTACTCACCCCTTTCTCTGACAATCATTGGCATCTACATATTTGCAGAGTCCAGGAATACAGAAATAAATAACACATGGTCCTAGGCCTTACAAAAATTAAGATGTAATTTTGGGTAAGAAGCAAAATGAAAACTATGGGAAAAAAAAATACAAGGATTCCTTAACAGAAGTATTGTGAGACAGGCTGCAGTGCCTAAACTAAGAATTAATTTGTAGATTTTCCAAGAGAACATGGGAGCAGATTGTGTGTGTGTGTGTGTGTGTGTGTGTGTATTTATTTTTTTCCACAGTAATAAAATTATTAGTCACACAAATGGCTGCCCAGAATAAGGGCCATGTTACCAGGTTCTATCCAGCAGACACACATGGAACTCCTCAGTGGTTTCAGAGACCCTTAAGGGAAAGCTGATTTGCCCTCCATCATGCCCTTTATGATCATTGGATAGGCTGTCCTGGATGAGGACCATGTCCAGATGAGGAGGAGTAGAGGCAGGAGCAGTCTTGGTCTGAGGAGGCAGTCCTCAATCCAAACCTAGGCTTTTACATTAAGTACTATAAAGTACTGTCACAACTACTTTACCACTTAAGGTTGCTCAAAATCTACACACAGAGGGGCTGGCTTCTTTGGTAGGATAGTCCATGTATCGATTATAAAGAGAGGGCTGTTGATGTAAAATAACTTGATGTGAATGTGACAGCAAGCAGAAGCCTCCTTAGGGAAAGGGACCATCACAAAAGGAAATGGAAACTTAGTGGTGTCAGTATTTCCCCCTTTTAAAACTCACACAGATTAATTCAAACATTCAAATTTGCCTTGACCATGGTGAGAACCCATCATGCACTGTGCAAGGAGACGTGGGTTTAAATGCAACTCTGTGGATTCAACACAAATAATTTGAAAATATTAGGCATTCCCATTTCACTACAGTCAATACATTATCTACAGAATGGCTTATTGTCAGAGAAGTTGATTGTTAGCTGACACAAGTTCTATAGACAGTCCTCTACAAAAGCTGAGCCTCTGTCTAGCCCTGCAAAGGGAACTGGAAACCTAGTTTATCAACAAGGGTTCTCTCTCTCTACCTCCCCCAACCCACTACAGCTCACTTCTTGCTTACCCAGGGGTAATTAAGAAGTGTGGGCCCCTGAAGAACTTGCTAGTTAATGTTTTCAAGTTGATTTCAAGAAGGCATAAAAGGGGCTGGAAAGATGGTTCAACAGTTAAGAGCATGAACTGCTCTTGCCAAGTTCAGTTTCCGACATGGGTAACTCACAACCACCTAACTAGAGCTCCAGGGGATCTGATGGCCTCCTTGGGTGCCTGCACACAGGTATACATAAATAAAATCTCTTTTTAAAAAGCAAAAAGACATATCGTGTGCTGTTTTGTAACTGGCTTTTTCAGAGAGTTAAACTGAGCACAGATGGGAGAAAGAATCTCTGCCAAGCACACAGCCCTGGAGTGAGGAAGCCTCACTGAGGGAAAGACACTGGTTTACCAGCCATGCCAAGCTCTGCTGGGTGGAAGTTGATTATTTATCATGTGCATCCAGTGCATTTGTTTGGACAATATCAGGAAGATTTATGACATTCTGCCCCAGTGAGGGCGAAACAATACCAGTTTAGTCCGTCTCAGAGCTAGCTTGAACACACTCCTGTGGAAAGGTGACCTCCAGTGATGCCTTTGAAGATAAGCAGCTGGTACTAATGCAGAGAATCAGCAGGAAACAGGAGGTCTAACAGAGTGTGCACTGCTGAGCTTCACGTCAGGTCTTTCTAGCTGTCTAGTTCAACAAACTCTGCCTCAGTTTCCCCAATCTTGCCACTTCCTGCATTTTCCATTAGTAATGATTCTTTTCTTAAAAAATGACTTGGGAGAAGATTTCTGAGGGCTAAGTTGTTGACATCAGTCATAGGCAAACTTTGTAAGGATATGCTTAACCTGGAATCTAGGGCGGAGTGTGGGTATGAGAGTGAGTGAAGGGGGGACTGCAAGGATGCAGGGGAAAGAAGAGAGTGGGGTGACAGGAAGGAGGGTATCTAGGATTTAAGTGTGGCAGTGTCGCAGAGAAGCCCGGTAACATGTATTCCAAGACGGAAAACAAATGTGCTTCAATCCAGAGATTACTTACCCATGGATTCTCAGAATCATCTTATGCCAATTTTAGGAGCTAAGTAACGTTATTAAAAGGTGTGTGTGTGTGTGTGTGTGTGTGTGTGTGCATGCATGCAGCATGGCCAGTTTTCTCCTTCCACCTTGTGTGACCTGGAGGTGTACTCAGATTGCAAAGCCTGGCAGGATGTGCCTCTACCCACTGAGCCATCCTGCGGGCGGGCCATGGTGCTAAGTAACTTTACATCAAAGTCCTAAGTACCTTAAAGGCTCTGTGGTTGGCCCCATGACGCCGAACATTGACAATTCATCAGTCACCGATGAAAACTGCATGCCTGCCAAGGGCATGGTGAAATGCATCATGCAATTACTTCTCAGGGTGACCACTTCCTGCTATGCTTCACCCTTGGGAACTGCTCTGGTCATGTGTGGTTACCAAGGACCAAAGTGCCCAGAACCTTAAGAACTGTTAGAGGTAGGATCCTACAACACAATGGGGCAATCAAATTCACAATAAAAGTCTCCAAGTTTGGGAGTAGAGGCTATGGCATTTGTGTCATTCTTCCCTTAGTTAGCTAGTTGGCTCTATTATTAGGCTGAAAAAAAAAAAAAGCTATTTCCAAGAGAACAAGCTACAGGCTGGAACTGATTATATAACTTGCACTGAAATAATACTGAGGCAAAGAGGGGGTAGACAGGTAGGTAACAAGTACCACCTAGGAAGAGAATAATTACTCAGGGTGCACTGAAGAAACAACTCACTTCAGATCAAGTGGAGGGAGCAACAGATCAGCTTCTGAGAATACTGAGTGGGCTGGCACATCTAAAAAAAATAATGAAAATGAGCACTCGGTACTTGTTTAAATCTATCAAGTAAAAATACAGGGATATGTGAGTAATGATTTACACAGCGGGGTGGGGGTACAAGCAAGTGACAGAATGCTAACTTAGCACCTGTGAGGCAGTGAGTTCCTGCCCAGAACCGAGAAACAAATTACAAATGAAAGCTAGATAAAAATGAGTTCTCAACCAGGTTGTCTTCCAGGATGTCTGGATACTTTCATTATTAAAGGTGATGTGATGTTTCCCCGGACATGGACATCCAAACTCCTGTGCCACACATCTTCAAAGACATCGCATAGTTATTATATATGAAATTATAATCCTCATGTTAATATTCCCAAAAGGTAGTGTCCCAAGGGCAGTGCCCAGGAAACAGCACATGACCCTGGAGAGTCACCTAAAGGCTGCTGTTAGCATGCCAGACAGTACGCTCATCAACCTCATCACTTGTATTACTTAACAATTGTTTTGTTATTTTGTAATCTTTTTTTTAAAAAAAGATTTGTTATGTACAGTGTTCTGCCTGCATGTATGTCTATTTTGTAATCTTACCCTATGAATATACAATACAGTTTATACCTTTAAACAGGTACAGGATGCTTTGAGGGAATAAAGCAATTCAGGGTTAGAGGAAAAGTAAAACTACATCCTGGTATTCAGAAATGGGATTCTCCATCTACCTTCCACTCACCCAGGGCTGTGGTCCCCACTGGGATCCACAGCCTGGATGCACCACGACTGTGTATCTGTTGATGGTGCAGACTTCTACTCTAATGATAAGGAGACTGACCAGCTGTTTTATCTGCTGGGGAATCTGTAGCATCAAGAGAAAGAACCAGTCATAAGAAAAAAATTGCCCTTGGCAAATGTCCAAGCTTACCCTTGCATAGCTTTTCCGGGAAATGCAGAACTAGACTTGTCTCTGATGCTGAGGTCACATGGCCTCCAAAGGAAAGAATGATTTGGTTGGTGTATCATTTAAGCTCTATCCTGACAGCACATCTGGAGTTAGCCCATTAATGTGACATGGAACATAGAGCCCAGGTTACCAGGACATGTCCCATGCTGCTTTCAGTTCACAGGAAGCCAGCAAGGCCCTGAGGGGGTTAAGCAGACAACACTGGGGAAACTCTGAGGTGCCAAGATACTGTGTTCAGGAAACAAAACCAAATTCTAAGCAGGGCACTGGGGCTAAACTTAGCCAAATTAATTAAAATTATGCATCTGTAAAATGGTGCTTATTAAAATAGTAATGTCCTACCCAATATTTTTTTTTTCAATCTGGAAAATCCAGCAAAAAGTGGGACTAGAAAAAGCCAGGGTCTTCTGGGAGACAGTCCCTGAATTCAAAGGTCCAATTCAGCAAAGGTCTGCTGTTTCAGGTGAGCCCAGGGGCAGCAAGTTCTGCTATGTGTGTCCTATGGAACATTCAGTCTTATTCCTAGGTGGTGGGTAACAGCTACAAAATCGCTTTCATCTCAACAGCCCAAACACTGGCCTCCTCTTGGCTTTGTCAGGTAATAGCACATTGCCATTTCTGTACCCACAGGCATCTGTTTTCAATGTACTGATGGGTACACCATCTCCATTTTCTAGAAAATTCTTTCCTGGCCCAGGCGTCCCTCTTTCCTCTCAATCCCCAGTGGGTTTTCTCCATTAGTGTGGAGGGCAGGTTGGTAGAATTCTGTCATGGATCTTCTATGACTTTCTACTTCTTTCTAGTGACTCAACCACATTTCTGTGCAGTTGCCAAGAAATCAGAGGGTTAGAAGTGGGACTGAGGGTTCTTCACTCATGACCTGGATGTTTGCTCCCTGTGATTTCCTACCCCACAGCCCAGCCATATAAACTGACTGACAGACCCACATATAGCCAGAAGACACTGAATTTGTCCCAACCCCACAAGCCATACTGTCTCCCGCTCTGGAAGACATTAGCTTCTTATGCAGCATAATGGAGAGAATACGCTGTGTTTGCGACCTGCAGTGATGCCTGGAGCCGAAATCCGACTTGAAAACTCAGCAGAGTCTCCGAGGCATGTGCTCCTAATTAGTGGCATACACAGATGCCAGCCAAATCTGGGACAAAGCCTAGACATTTGCATTCCTAATTAGCCAGCACACCCCAGCCCTCCACAGTGAGGCAGGCAGATTTTAGCTTTGAGAAACACGGGAAGCAGCAACTGGGCAATTACACACCAGTCGGAAAACCATGCACACAGAAACACACCAGGCACACTACACCATACCATTCACCCCTGGGCAACAACTAAATGAACACACACACATCTGACCCTAGGTACTGCCGACCTCTGAAAGCTCAAGCATCCACATAACCTTCACGCAAATGCAAACCAAAAGGGGGAGAAAAGTGATAATCCTAGATTCAGGCGGATTTTTAGGTAAGCAATTATTTTATTTCCCTGGCCTGACAGCATTGACTCCAAAGCATCAGAACCTGCAGCTGACAAGAGCAGACATACAGACTGCTCCCAACAGGGAGGACGCTCTTCATTTGTAGAGATGAATTGAAATGGCATGTGTGAATGCAGTTCCTATTCCCACCCGCTCCCCCATATAGCCCCTAAATGAAACTGAGTCAGTAAAATCCCCACAAAACGCCGGGGTCCTCGATCCATCTTCTCTGAAGAGCAGATGGCAAGGAGGGAAACAGCTGGCCAATCACAACATTCCAGTGTGTATGAGACTCAAGGAGGGGAGCAGGGGGAAGGATAAGTGGCAAGTGTGTAATCTAGCTTACCTTGTAACCCGGACCCTCCACACATAGACACCTTGTCCCTGTACATGAGAAAGTGGAAGGAAATGCTAGAGGACTGATCCTGAGGCTCGTGAAATTCTAAGGTGCTTAAGGGATGAGGAGCAGAGATGCTCAACCCTGAACTCCAGTTTAATGCCATCCAAACAACTGGCAATCGTAGCCACATTCCCGCACAACCCTATTTCCCAAGAGGACTCCATCTAAACATCTGTGCGAATGTCCACTGCCACAACTGGGGCGGTGCTGTGCCGCCTGCGTGGAAGAAAAGGACCTGGAGAGGGAGGAATTGGAGACAGAGGTCAGGGGTCACAATGCTTCAATGACAGTGGGAATTTTTTGGTCCCTTAGGTATGGTCCCCTACAGCTCCTAAAGCATTTTCCCCCTTTCCCTATGTGCAAATTTTGGCATTTTGTGCAAATGCCAAAAATTAAACCTCTGCCCAAAGAGACAGGAGTTGCTGCTGAACTGTATTCCTCTCGAGTGGCCACCTGCCCTCCTCCCAACCGTCTGATGAAACTGCAGGAAAATTCAGAGCAAAGCTGTGAGTAACAAAGTACCCACCCTGCTCTCACAGTCAAGCCAACACAAGATCTTCCTGGGCTGAGGAAGCAGAGAAAACTAACGATTGAGCTTGTGAAAAAACAGAAGACAGTGTGTGCGGTGTGATGTTTTCCGATGTCTTCACCTTGCGTCTCCTCCATGGTTGGGAGCCCTCCCTCTGGTTCCCCGAGTCCCACAAGCACCCCACCCCTACCCCCAAGTCCAGGTGCTCCCATCTGCTGGGCTTCTGCCTCATTTCCCATAGACACTTTCGTCACTGTAGGCCACATACAGAAAATAGTCTTCCTCGTGGTTGTCCTAAAGGAGACAAGAATGCAGTTCAGAAAACAGTAACACCTATGTTCATTGTCTCTGTGATTCTGAGGCCTGAACAACCTTGTAGAGGAGACCTGCAAGGCATCATTAGCCCCCATTAAAAGAATGGAAGAAGGCTGGGGGTACAGCCCAGTGGTAGAGCACTTGCCTAGAGTGTGTGAGGCCCTGGGTTCAAGTTCTAGACTGGGAAAAAAGGAAAAATAGGAGCAAAGAAGAGGAGGTATCAACTGCATGTTGAGGTCTGACTTCACAAATACAAGATATATAGAGAACATATTATATCATTAACAGCAGAAAAATAACTACAGTAAGCCTTACTCCTAGAAAACAATTATTCTATGGTCATCTTTAGTGACGGACAGTTCCTTTTGTGGTGGTCAGTGGTGACGACAAAGCCTAATAACTGGTCAAAGTGTAGATAGTAAGTTATTAATGTTTGGCCACGCATGGTTTATCTAAACTGCCCCCTCCAAAGTTGAGGGAATGTTGTGAAAGAAATGACCCTAAGGACATCATTGGGTTAAAAAACAAAATGGAAATAGGAGGTCTAGCTGGTAAGACAGGCAAGAGTAGGAGGGAAAACAGAGCCAGTAGGGGGCAGGGATCAATGTGTTTGAAATATGATACGTACAAGTACAAAAGTCAAAAAACAAGCACATTATAATGTGAATTATAGAACCCTTGGCAAAATTCTTTCAACCTTTTTAGCATGTTTTCAAAGCTTTCAAAAACAAAATGTTGGGAAATAATTTTTATCTTGAAAAAAAAATACTGTTCCTTGGTTGGGTTGGGGGATGGGTCAGTCAGTAAAGCACTTGCCTTGAAAGCCCAGAGGACCTGAGTCCCGTGCCCAGAACCCAGATAACATGGCATGTGTGGTGCTGTGAGCTTTTAATCCCAGCACTGTGAAGGTAGAGACAGGAAGATCCCTGGGGCCCACTGGCTAGCCCGGTCAGCCTACTGGTGTCTTCTAAGCCAATGAGAGACCCTATCTCAAGGGCGGCATGGAGTATTCTTGAGGATGCCACCCTAAGTTGTCTGCCAACACACACACACACACACACACACACACACACACACACACACACACACAGGCGCATGCACTAAAAAAAAAAAAAAAAAGAAAGAAAGAAAAAAAGAAAAACCCTTCATTCCAGCCTCCCTCTAGCAAGGAAAGCATAGACATCACAACTCACGGGGAATGAACACTGGGGAAGAAGGGCTAGACCAGGGGCTACGAGATGTGCTGCCTGTTACTAACGGGGCTCAGTGGGAAGGCAGCACCTTGTGTGACAGTTTTCAAGGAGAAGGGCAGCTGCAATCTCAGATCACATCATTTCTACAGGAAGTCCTAACTACAGGTTTTTCTCCAATCAAATTCTACCTTAACTTCACATTTTAACTCACTCACGGTCCTCAGATCATGGGAACCCTTCACGGTCACAGGTTTGTTCTAGAAAGACGAGCATCTGGATGTGGTTGTCACAGCCAAATTGGCAATTTATGTGGGAACTAACTCTGATGCCAGAGCTCCAGGTTCAGACTACACAGGGGTCAAGTGTAGCTGGTGTTTCCTTTCTCAAGTCTACTGCTAGATGGGGGTGACTGACAAGCAGAGGTGGGGTGTCCAGTTCACTAAAAGTATGCTTCCAGAGAAATTAATAGAGCCATGGGCTCCCGGTGATCCTTTGCTACCAAGAACTACTCCAGCCAGCAATAAAGCACTATAGTCAGGCAAGACTGAAAGAGTTCATTAGATTAAATGGAGTCAGTGCGCCATCCTGAAAGGACACTGGGTATCTAATCTCCCTGCCTCACACTACTGTGGGTAAGAAGATCCCATAAACAACACCTCCTGCCCTACTTCCCAGGTGTGTTAGCAAACTTGGAACCAGAGCTACTGGAGGCCAGGCTGCTGGGTATTGTGACCAAAACCATTACCTCATACAGCTGGCCCATGGTAGCACTCGTGGGAGGAATAGTGTTGTTGACGAAGAAGAATAAGGCGTCCTCAGGTCTCAGGTGGATCCTCTTCCGGATTAAGAAGTAGAACTGGCCAACTACAGGAAGGAAACAGAGAGCAGGGCAAGAAAAGAAAAAGGATTAGCAAAAGAGGAAATCTCAGGAAAACTAAAACCTATTGTTCTATCCCCTATGGGCTAAGTACAAGCTTTTCCCAAATACCGTCCAAAAGCCTTGGTGGCAAAATATAGACTGTACAGTCCCTGACACACTACAGTGGGATTGCTTCCCTTCCTCCTAATTCAGCCTCAGAGACGACATTAGCATAATGACTAACTACTGTGGGGAGAATGATGTAGACTGAAGCATCCGTCTAAAAATGGACCCCTGATGTCTTTCCAGCTCCATTCCTACCCTGAGAGCTAACACTTCGAAGAGATCCACTGGATTCTGGACAACCCAGCATGATGGGGCAAGTGTCAGGGCAATGAGCATAACCAGCGTTTAGCCTCTCCCTGCAAACAATGAAAAGCTTCTAGAAGGCTGACAGACAAATGCATAAACTCCGGAGCAAACATATCTAAAAGAAACCGTCAAGAGTATCTAGAAAGCACCTGGCAGTTCACTAAGAACATGGTAAAGTCTAAATACATATAACTGAAAATAGAAGATATGCTAGGGTCTGTAGTTTTTAATCTCCCAAACAGAAACGCGACTGAGAGATAAAGCATTTAGATATGAATCTCTGAAACGTGATCCTCCGAAAACACTGTGCTGGCTTTGGAACAAGTCGACCTCAGGATCACCGTGGCTGAGTTTTAACGTGGTGTAAATTACAGACAACTGTTTCTTTACTCCAGCGTGCTGCTTTGCTGTGTCTCCATGAGTAAGGCACATGGGTAAGGTACTGGGAAATACCACACAGAATTGGAAATGGAAGGACAGACTGTGCCTAGCCACATTGGCCAGCTCCCTGAAGAAGTCATGCGTAGTTACAACCCATTTGGTCACCAACTTAAGACGTGAAATACAGATCAAAACTGCTTTGCCTGGAATGAAGGGCCAGAAGGAAAGACCATTACCAGTGAGGTCAGAAGGGACAAGGTACTTTCTCTTGTCCAGATCAGGGACCCTGGCTTTAGGAGCCTTCTCCACGATGACCTAGAAGGAGAAAGGAGAGGGGATGAAAACTGCCTTTTTCCTTCCACACCATCTAGGCTCAATGTGATTTTCCAGTCCTTGCTTCCAGTGCTCCTTGATCTCATGCAACTACAAATTACCTTATAAAGAACAGTAAGAGACACTTACCTTATGGTATTTTATTAAAGAATCAAAATGCTGTTCTGTGCTCCTAAGATAACTTAATGACCTATTAGTTTTATTTTTTCCTCTAAAATACCATTTTTGGACTGGAGAGATGGCGCGGTGGTAAAACCACCATATGTGAAAGTGTGATGACTAAATTCAGATCCCTAAAATCTGTGCAAATGCCAGGTTGGACCTGTAGGCCCACCACTTATCCCAGTGCTGGGAAGGCAGAGACTGGAGATCCCTGGGCCAAACTGTCTGGCTGGACTGGCAGGCTCTGGGTTCACAGTGAGTGATGTGGACAGTAACCAAGAATTACACCAGACATCAACGTCTGGTCTCCTCCACATGCATGCATATCTGCACACAATCACACACACGGCCACTCACATGTGCACAGCCTTCAAGTTGACTGTCTCAGACACTGCCACAGTGACAGCTAATAAACACGGGCAATGTGGCTCAGATTTCAATCTTTGTAAAAAAAAGTGTTCACCACTAAGTGAAAACTATGGCACTTTATGAGGGCACTGAATTATTCAACATTATTAACTATGTTAGGATTTTAAGGGACTTTCAGTATCTACATTAAATATTTTTAGTAACATTTTTAAAGAATTTTCATTTTTGTAATGAAAAATACACATAAAATCTTGGGATTTTTTGTTTGTTTTTTGAGACAGGGTTTCTCTGTGTAACAGTCCTGGCTGTCCTGGAACTCACTCTGTAGACCAGGCTGGTCTTGAACTCACTGAGAGTTGATTGTCTTTGCCTCCCAGGTGCTGGGATTAAAAGCGTGTGCCACCACCGCCTGGACTCTTAGGTAGATGTTTATATATTTACTTAGAAAATAGAAAATACATTGCAAGAATATTAACATTAGATTCTTTGTTTTGAAGAGCGCATCTTAGATATGAGAAATGGGAACTACCAAAAAGTGAAGAAGCAGAAACAGACACTGGACAAGTCTCCCTAGAAGCTGTGTGACCTTCAGGATGTCTGTGACCTCTCTGGGCTTCTGAACAAGCAGCACCCCCAAAAGACCATATGAATAAATACATGTAAATGCCTGGGTAGACAGAGGTGAATCCAAACATTCAAATTAAGTAGAAAAGAGTTCGAAAAGGAGATTAGTAATGGACAAAAAAAAAAAAAAAGTAAGGAGAAAAGGCAGGCTATACACGGCAGAGCACAGGAAACAGGGGGAGCCCTGGTATTTACCACAGGGACTCTGAGACCTGGCAGCTTCCTCCAAGAATAGAGAAAACTGTTTTCTCCATCTGTGGCAGGTGGCTCATACGCCATAGGGCTGTTTACAAATGTTTAAAAATAGTGTGTCCAGCAGTTCCTGCTATTACAGGTTTCCAACACACTGTTATTTCAAGATCCCATGATCCCCTCTCCCAAGGCCCACACATACCTCTTCTGAGGCTAAGCTTAAGTTGTGAGTCAGACTGCCTTAGACACTTAGTGGCTTTCCTGTAAACACCTGGACATAGTAAGATTCAGTTCTGTGCCCAAGGTACAGGAACTCAGGTTACAAGGCTGAAACAAAACCACATCGCTGAGGATAAGGGTATACCCAGTGATAGAGGGACCACTGGGCAAAGGGCTCCATGCCCAATGCTGCCCCCAACCCAAATCTCTGCCATTTAGCAGAGCTCTTCTGTCACAAACAGGGTAAGAGCCATAAGTGGAGAATCTCTCAAGTTGAGGATCCATGAGATCCCAGTGATCTTTCTTAGCTTATAAATTATCACTGAAATAAAACATTCAACATCAAGTCATAAGCAGGAGAAGAATAAGGAGAAACTAAAATATCCTGGGTGAGTGCTGTAACCAAGCGAATGAGAGAGGCTCATTTGAGAAACTATAGAGGTTTTAACTGAATCTGAAGACGGACACCGCAGCTTGTGTTTCTGTTAAAGTTCTGAGTAACGGGTAGACATTCACTTAAGTTTCCTGGCTGGCACTGGTCTACCAGCTGAACTCCAGATGGCAGCAAGACTTAACCTACTTCCAGGACTCACCTATGTAAGGTGTAACACTTAATTCTGGTTAATCGAACTGGACTACACAAACTGGGAAAGGGGACAACCTAAAGGTCAAGGGCTCTGGAAGCCCAAAGCATGGCAGCCAGGCTGAAATCCCTCTCTGGCAGCTAGCACTGTCAGACCCCACCTTTGGGTGGGGACTTCACTCCCCAGTACTGCAGGCTTATGTCTGTAGCACCTAGATTTTAATGGTGTGAGTCGAGTCAGTGAATAGGCAGACAAGGCATTCAGAGTGCTGCCAGCTCTGTGGGCCATGTGTCATTTTAAAATATGAAGGGGGGGTGACAAATCCAAGACAATCCTCCATGGAAGTAATATGTGCAGGACTGCGTGCTAAGAAGAAATGACTAGCGTGTTTCCAGCCTTTCCCTAAAGACCCTGGTGCATACAGTGGAATAGTTAACTCTCCCCTTCCTAACAGGAAATGGGGATGAGGACTTTTCCCAGTTGAGCCTACATTTCTTCTGCTAGCCATAGCTGAGAGGACCGAGGAAACCCCCCCTCACCACCACCACCACCACGAACAGTACTTATGCATCAAGAAAAATTATTAGGTAAGTCCGGCTCGTTTACCCATTAAAGCTATGAGTAATGCTAATCTAACATCATTGCCTGTACAGATAAAGAGAACGACTTTAAAAGTCCCTTCTCCTCTAGCTACCATATCTAACAGTAATGTCGTCCTCGGCTTCCAATTCTGCTGCGCAGCCTTTAAAAGAGAAGAAAAAAAAAAAAAAATCAGGCAAGTGGGCGGGGGGAGGGGGGGCAAAGGGAAAAACACCCGGATGCTGAAGAAGACTCCCTTATTATTTTTCTCCTCACTGCATCAAATAGGTTTTAGCCGTTTAAATCGGGGTACAATTCGCGGAGGAAAAGGTTCTCAGTCCTCGCCCTTGGGGTCCAAGGCCCAACACATCAGCAGTGCAGGGCAAGGTCCTCTTTAGCACCACATGGCCAGGGAGGCAGTGATGATGATGAAGCAAGCTGACTGTGGCGCAGAGTGACCTTGTTTGCGGGCCCGCCTGGTGGGGGTTCTCCGCCGCCGCCTCTTAAATTCTAAGAAAACGCAGCGCAGAATCTACTGACTTCTCAAGTTTTTCCCCCAATGCGCTCAAGGAAATGAGGACGGAACCCGGATTCTTTAGGCAGACATGGATGGGCCCAAGGCTCACCACCACCACACCTGCCACTCAGGGGATGCGCTGCGTGGTCTACAAGCGCGTCCCATCTGGGGCCCCCAAGCAGCGGCTCCCGCACACACAGGCCGCGCCACGCGCACATTCCCCACCTCCGCGGGAGCTGAATCCGCTGAGTCACCCCGGATGCCAGAGGTGGGCACTGGTCCTGGCAATATGGGTTTGTCAGAGCCGGCCAGGATTATGGGATTCCGGGGACCGGCCTGCTCCAGGGCCACCCTCCAGCGCTCCGGGGCAACCGGCTCCCGAATTTCCCTGCTCGCTCTCCCCCTCCCCGCCCCCACTCACCGGCACCCGGTCCGGGTATTTCTTCCTAATCTTTTCACCTTCCTTTTTCCGATATTCGAAGGGATGGTCCTCTTTATACTGGAACTTCATGATGGACCGCAGGTTGGGGGGCTCCCCGGACGGGGCCTGCTGCGCGCGCTGGTGACTGCGTCTCGCTTCTGGCCGCCCCCGGGTCAATGTCAACCTTATCACAATCGCTCCGCCCGCGTCAGCCCCCACACGCCCGTCACCGCACTACGTGGCCAGACGTCCAAGAGAGGGACCTGGGGATCTCCCCGCCCGAAGGTAAAGGACCACCAGGTAAAGAAATCGGGTGGCTTTTCCCAAGAGCTGGGAACACAAAAACACCAGGGCGGTGTTGTGACATCACGAGGCCCCGCCCCACCCCGCCCCCGGCGCGCAGGATCTGCTGGATGGGGGTCAGAAACATCGATTATTTGTGTGTGTGTGCCCATTACGCTTAAGCTTTCCTAAATCACTCTAGAAAATAAAAACTCTGTGTCTTGTCTTTTATTGTTGTGATTTGATATTAAAGATGTCTTTTAACCCCAAGAATGCTCTAACAAATGTCTTCTTCACTCCCCTTCATGTTTCTTGCTTGGTGCCCAAAACAAACACACAGGAAGAAAATCCAGCTGTTTCCAGAGCAATGGGATCAGGCGTCTGGTGGTGGAAAAGTGCCAGGCATCACGAGATCTGTAGCCCACGCTGAAATGTCCTGTGCTTGCATTTTGACCTTTGCCTGGCACCCGTGGCTGGCCTGGCTTCTCCACCCCAGCTCCTCCTCCCTACTCTGGCGTCCTTTCCTTTGGATCTGTGCTGGAGCTGGTACTGAGACAACATAAACAGTGCGTGACTCAGGGATTTTGCAGAGGTGTAAGGGTGAAAAAGCATGAGGTCATCAAGGTTAGAAGAGGAGATGCCAGCCATGAACACCGGGCTTCATGCACGTTTGAAAGGGAGATGATTCCATTCACTTTGTCCTGTTCACCCAGAAGTGTGGTCCTGGGTTCTTAAACATACAGAGATCAAGCAGTTTAGGTGACGACCAACATTACTTTCCTGGGGAATTGGTACCATCTGCTGGAGAGTTGTCCTGATGAAAAGGCCTCATGGGAACCAAAAGCTCTGGCTGTCACCCTAGTGGAAGACCCTAAGCCGCACAGCCGGGGTCGGATGGCCCAGGTCCCTCTGGCATATCGGGTTTCCTACTGGGAATCTTTGGATGCTGGGTCAGAATACTGATCCTACTGACAGTGACTCTCCAGACCTGTATTTGGGGAGCATTAGAAATGGTAAAGGTAGGGGTTCGAGGATGCTTTGTGCTGTGCAAATAGAATGACTTCTAAAGCCAAGCAGCCAAGCAGCCCTTGTTGCCGGCCTTCTTCTTCTTCTTCTTCTTCTTCTTCTTCTTCTTCTTCTTCTGCCTTTCAAATTACTCTCAGTGGCTTGGCCTTTAAAAGACCAGAAAATAGCCAGGCAGTTGGTGGAGCACGCCTTTTATCTACAAGAGCTAGTACCAGGACAGCCTCCAAAGCCACAGAGAAACCCTGTCTCGAAAAACAACAACAACAAAAACCAAACAGACAAAAAGCCCAGAAAATAAAATAAGCTAAACTTAAAACTTAAATACCAAAACAAAATGAAATGCATAGCCAACTTTCTTGTTTTTCTCCAGGAATCTTTGAATCGCCCCTACATATAAAGATCAGTGAGGTAATGCATCACATCATTATGTTTATATTAATAATTTTCAGGCTTTATTTTCAACTTGAAACTAGTTTAATGCCCCGTTCATCATTTTACCTTTGATTCAAATACAATTAAATCTTTCAGAAGAAAACTTTACAATCAGGTAAGATGAACCCGGGGATTAAAATAGTAATATTGTTATTTTCTGAGTGACTTTCAGTTCTTTTATAGATATGTATATCTCAGTTAATTGAAGGGCAGTTAATTCTTCAGCCCAGTGACAATGTATTTAATAGCATGAAAAATAAAAAATGCAATATTAGCTAATAATTGATGAGGGTTTTCTAAATGCTAGTAGTTTACGTAAAAATACAAAATGTATTGGGAGCTGGAGAGATGGTTCAATGGTTAAGAGCAGGGGCTGCTCTACAAGAGGATCAAGGTTTGAATTCCAGCAAAGTAAACAACTCAGGAGTGGTAGCTCCATTTCCAGAGGATATGGTGCACTCTTCTGGCCTCTGCTGTGCACTGCATGCTCATGGTGCATATACATATATGCAGGCAGAGCACCCACACAAATAAAACAAAAATCACTTAAAAAATACAAAACTTATCTATTCCTACAATTTTACTATTTAGTCTAAGAAGGCTCTTTAAAATGTAGAGAGGTATGTTTATAAATTTAACATTCAAACAGATAAAAATAGTTTAAAATCCCTTTCTTCAATCAGACAAAACGCAGTGTTAAAAAGATGTATTTTCTCATGCAGCCATTCTAAAAGCTCCTTGTACTGTTCTGGCTTTTATGTTTATGAGGTTGAAACTTTTTATTCCAATTTTTTCAAGAAGTATATTTTATTTGTGTAATATTCTCTTCATACAAACATTCTGTGTGTCCTTCATCTTTAACAGTCTTAGGTTAAAGAAAAATCTAGTAGGGTAATGAAGTTAAATAGTCTTGATTCTCTGGCTTTCTGACTTTGTGCTAATTGATAGGGCATAGCCAACTATATATGAATTAAAGAAGTCATGTTATAATACAATCCCCAGGAAATGATTAATATTTAATCAGTTAACTATTGTTAATTGTTCCCTACTTTGCTCACCTGGGGAAATTAGAAGATTCAAATAAAAACTAACACCTCCACAAGAGTTTGGCATGAGAAGATAATTAGAGCTACTTTAGTAACCAAGAAGTGTCATCACACTGAAAATGCTAGTATTGTATTAAGGATAGAAGTGAATAACATAGTATAAAAGACTCAAACACTTCCAAGAGTACCTAGAAAATCATAAAAATGGTGTGACAAATTCATGACATGGTTTCTTTCCGTGCCTTTTAGCACTTTTATTATCTTTCAGTCTTTTAATATTTTTGCTTTGGTCCTATTGATATTAATATGAAAATATTTTCAATTTTTTTATTAGTTCAAGTTAGGGAACAAGCTTGTTTCACATGTAAGTCCCTTCTCCCTCTCCCTCCCCTCACCCCCATCACTCCTCCTCGACCCCCAATCTACCCCCACCCCATCCACCACTCCCCAGGTAGGGTAGGGCCCTCAACAGGGGCTCTGCAAAGTCCACCAAATCTTCCTGTGCTGGTCCTGAGCCCTTCCCCATGTGTCCAGGGCCAGAGTGTAACCCTTCATGTGGGATGGGCTCTCAAAGTCCCTTCTTGCACCAGGGAAAAATACTAATCCACCATCAGAGGCTCCCTGGACTGCATAGGCCTCCTTATTGACATCCATGTTCAGGGGTCTGGATCAGTCTTGTACTGGCCTCCCAGATAGTGTCTGGGGTCGATGTGCTCTCCCTTGTTCAGGCCATCTGTTTCTGTGGGTTTCTCCAACCTGGTACAGACCCCTTCAATCTTCAATTCTCCCTCTCTCCAACTAAGAGCAAGAGAAGAGGAGTAGAGGGGAGGAAATGGAGGAGCAGAAATATTGAGTTTGGGGAAGAATAGAGGAGAGAGAGCAGGATGAGAGATACCATATTAGAGGGAACCATTATAGGTCCACGAAGAGATCTGGAACTAGGGCGATCTCCAGAGACCTACAAGGATGACACGATCTGACAATCCAGGCAATGGTGGAGAGGATAACCTAAAAGCCCTTCCCCTAAAATGAGATTGATGACTACTCTTTATGCCATCCTAGAGCCCTCATCCTGTGGCTGATGGAAGCAGAGACCGACATCCACAGATATACACTGAGAGGTTGAAACTTTTGTTTTTTTATTCGTATTTAGTCTTATAGGGGATTTCAGACCAGGACAAGCAATACTATCATGCTCACTGCTTCATTTGAAAGTAAACTGCATTTCACCATGGAATGTGAACACATCAATCACCACACTACAATTAAAAATTGCCAGTACCTCCACAATCAGGTAATGCTGCATAGAGTTCATACCCAGAGTTATATGTCTCTCACCGAGTGCATTTCATAATTTTCCTCAGCCAGGCATTAGAACTTGAAAATGAATATGAAGTAAACCTTTATTTCTTCTATTTATGATCATTTCTATTATCATACGTGTCTATGAATAAAAACCAGAACTAGGGTACTGCTCTGACAATTATCAGAAAATGTACTTGTTGAGGGCTTTTGAGAAGATGTTTTAGCCGGAGGGTAGACAGCTTCCAAAGCCACAGAGAAACCCTGGCTCAAAAAACAGAAACAAAACAAAACAAAAATCCCAGAAAATAAAATAAGCTTAGTCTTTTTTTTATTTTGTTTTTGCTGTTGTTTTTTGGTTTTTGTAGTAAATGATTGCCTACCAAACAAATGCTGAGGATGGTGGTCTGGCTGAGACTTGCTGATTTCCATGTCAGGATCCTTTCTTGCCCCTAATGTCTCCTTCCAAGACACAGTGAGTGCTCTGCCTTCTCACTGATGTATTTAACACCATGAGGTAGTGGCTTCATTGTTTTACACTTGGTTCTGCTTAGATTCAGAAAAATTATCTCAATATATGGGGGTGTTAAAAACTCAGGGATATGCTCTAAAGCCACTATTATCACCCATGCTCATTTCTAATGGTATCCAATCTTGTTTTCATCACTTGTGGGTATTGCAACGACAGACATGGATGCCAAATAAATGTATTAAAGTGGTTTTCATTGTGTCATACCTCTTCACCTTATCCACCTATCAGCCTGCAATCTTTTGAAGAAAGTCCAGTTCCTTAGAAAAGAAGATTAATTCTCTGCAATTCCGTAGACACACTTCACATTTTGCTCCAAGACTGCCATCACAGTTTAGATGCAATCTATCCTCAGAGGCTCGTGTGTGCTTAGTTCACACTGGTGATGCTGTCTTGGGAGACTGAAGGACATCTCGAAATTTAGGAGGTGGGGCCCAAACAAAGGATGAGAGGTCTCTATTATGAGGCTTTGCCTCATGACTTGATCATCTCCCAAAGGCCTCAGCTCTCAATGCCACTATCTTGGTGACTGGCAGGAATGGGGTGGAGGGGATTAATCCCCAGTAAATAGATTTGTAGGGACTACACCAAATAGCCAATCTTGTTTTAGCCTCAGGTGGACACTAGACACTGGATAAGGGAGACAAACATGACACTCAGATATGGCAGTGTGAGAGAGTCTTAATGGCCTATGGGGTCCTGGTTTCAAGTAGCACTCCTAGTGGAAAATGTCCTTCACAGGCTTAGAC